GGCCAATCTAAGGCACAGGATGTGGATCTGGGTGGTAGCTGAGCTGGTCAGTCCAGGCCGCTGGCACCACCCCCTCAGGTGAGGGGCAGAGCCATGCTGCTTAAGCCTATGCCATCAGGGCCAGCTGTCCCATGCCTGTGGTGAGGGATGGGACCATCTCTTCTGAGTGTAGGGTAAGCTCTCCCGTGGTGGGGTGGGACCAACTATTCTACTGCAGTGTACAACAAGGGGCATGAAAAGCTATCCTGGGACCAGTGAGGGGCAGTATGGCCATCAATTTCGACATCCATGGTTCCTATGACCCACTGTGGTAACTAATATGAGCCAAGGACATCAGCCCAGACACTGGTTGCCGTTGGGCTGTGGACCCATGGCAGTAGCCCAGGCCCAGATAGAACCATAGCTCCATGTGGCTGTGCAGACCACCTGATTGGCATGGTACTAGTGGCAGCATGGCTCTTGGACACCAACTTGGCCACAGAATGTGGCCTAGACCATGGGCATTTGTGTGGTCTTTGGTGGTATCACAGGCCACAGACATCAACATAGACCCTGACTGTGGTAGAACCAAAGACCCAGGCACGGTCCTCATTAGCAGCCTGGGTTTGGATATCACCTTATCCCCAGGTGGCAGCACGGGCCACTCTGATTGGTATGGATCCAGCAGCAGTGAGGCTCTTGGACACCAATATGGCCCCAGGGGGTGGTCCATCCCCTGGCATCAGCATGGCTTTCAATGGTATTATGAGCCATGGACATTAACACAGACCCTTGCTGTGATAGGGCCATGAACCCAGACATGGCTCTTGGCAGCAGTGCTGGCTCAGACAACATCATGGCCCCAGTGACAGCATGGCCCATGGATACCAATATGGCCACAGGATATAGCCTAGACTCCAGGTGTCTGTGAGGCCTTTGTTGGCACCACAGGTCAGGGACATAGTAGACCCTGACTGTGAACCACGGACCCAGACATGGCCCTCGGTTGCAGCCTGGGCCTGGGTGTCACCATGTTGCCTTGTGGCAGTGAAAGCCACTCAGATCTGTATGTGGCTCAGGCTGCAGCATGACCCTCAGATCCCCACATGGCTTCGGGTGATGGCCCAGACCCTGGGTATTTGCATGGCCTTTGGAGGTATCAGAGGTCATGGATATCAACCCAGACCCTGGCTACATACAGTAGGGCCAAGGACCCAGACATAGCCCTATGCCCCAGCCTGGGCTCAGATGTCACTATGACCCCTGGTGGCAACACAGGCCACCCAGATTAGCATGGCCCCAGTGGCAGCATGGCTTTTGGACACTAGCATGGGTGAGTCCCAAATTATAACCTTTTAATTTCAAATGGTTCCATTTGTCAATTTGTCCCATTTTCTTGTTTCTCCAGAGAGGCCTTGGCTTTGCCTGCATCAGGAAATGTTTTCCCCACTCCCCCTCTAGCAGACCCAGGGTTTCAAGTCCTGCGTTAATGTCTTTGTTGCATTTGGAGTTGAGTGCTCTGAAGGGTGAGAGGAGAGGAACATTCTTCTACTGCAGGCATTGAGTTTTTCAGCATCACTTGTTAGCAAGGCTTTTTGTTTGCCAGTGAATAAGTACTTTTGTCACCAATGAGTATTTTTGCTTGTCATTTTATTTTAGAACAACAAAAAAATCCCCTTATCATCTAAGACATTTCCCATCCAAAACATTCAAAGTCAATAGATTATTTTAAGTTAGAACATATTTGACAAGTTATTCAAGAAGTATATTAAGGTAATTTCAGACTGTGTTACTACAGTATGAAAACACTGCAAGAATAAGTAATTAATTTATGACAAAACTTCATGATTGGATTTATAAATCTTAGTCTGTTTCAGAAATTTGAAAATCACACACATGCTACATGTCCTTTGTAGAATCATTTATAACTTGTTTTGAACTGTTTAGATGAAGCAAATAAAGAAACAATAAGTAAAATTAAATTTCCTGAGTTTAAATAATCTGATGTTTTAGTAACACTTGATTATATACATTTTCACACACACAGTTTGTATCTGCATCTAGTGTGTAGTCTCATTTGCATATGCTTAAATATTTGTTTACCAATTGTGTTGCTTTCCTGGGGAGATAAAAAATTAACATCTGCCCTTAAATTCTGACATTTCCACAGCACAAAGAATGACTCATTAACCTCATCTTAATGAGTAGAAATGAATTTATTAGAGATTACTCATAGAGCAATGCAAGACCCTGGACATCTGCATGAGGTTCCCCACCCTCTGTCACCAAACTCATAAATCCTTTGGCTCTCTGCCTTAGAATTGATATAAACTTTGTTTCCTAGCGCCACCTAGTGTGAAACAGCAGAGGTGATCCCAGGCTCTGAAGGTAGTCTGTGTTTGGCCTTATCAGGGCTTCTGGGAGATTCGAAAAAACACTGCTCATTTGGGGAAGGTTAGCTTGTTTCACTGCAGTCAGGCATGTCAGACTAGCCTCATTCAAGCTTGCTGCAAGATGGAGATGGTGAGAATTCAGAGGTCTGGGCTCATTCACCAGCGGATACACAGTTCAGACCCTTCATGGCGGCCACACTTTGGAGGAAGTCCTGCACGCTTGTTAAAGCAAAACATACTTCCTGATTGGCCACAGCGGCTAACATGACCATAACCTGTCTCAGCCTCTGCCACTAGCCCCTATAGACAAGAGTATAGGATTAAGAACCGACACTGTGATGAGGAGTGATAAAGAAATTGTTAGTACATTTCCAGGGTTTGATGATCTTGTCAATATGGTATTAGAAGATGTCACAGTTTGAAATTACAACAGAGGAAGAAGGATACAAAATTAGACTAGATTTTTAATAAATGGAAATAATGCAACAATGTTGTTTCCTGGAGGGAAGGGCCTGGAGTAACAATTGGATTTCCTTGAGTTATGTTAGATTCTGGCTCCTCCCCTTGACTTTTAATACTTATATTGTATAAAACAAACTTTTGTTAAAGGGAAATACTTTGAAGATATATACCCACTTTTCTATGCTAATCGTGATTATTTTGTAATAAGAGTTTTTTATAGACTAAAAAAATGAAGATATTTTGATAAAAACAAAACAACACAAAAAACTGTCAGACATTTGAGGTGTCAAGAGACAAAGTTTTTGGTTTTAAATTTTGTAATGTTTCTCCTTGAAGACACAAAGTGTTAAATAAAAGATTCTACAATTCAAGGAAGAACCAGGCAGGAATATTCAGCCACCCCCTACTCCCCCACACTGCCAACAAAGAAGCAGGTTCCCCAGCTCTCCGTTGTGACTATTGGTGTCAGGTCACATTGATAAACACATTTTATTGACAGCTAAGCCGCAGCTGGTAACCTGACACAAAACCTAGTTGGCTAATGTGTTTTTATAGTGGAAAAAAATAGGTAGTTGGCACTTTACAACCTAATGACAAGTAAGTTTCCCTTCTGCAAGAGACTAACTTTGGGACATTTAAAATGATGAACCCTTAATCACCTTAAAGTTCAGTTTTCAGAAGTTTACTGTTACAATTGTGTTCAATTATCAGTAACACAAACGGTGTAAACTTGTCAATAAACTTCTTTTTTTTATTGTTTTTTTCCCATTGTGTAAAGTATATTTCTCCCAAACCACTGGCTCGAGTTGCATGAAAGTGGACTTTAAAGTCTCCATTTCTGAACACTTATTGTTCCTTGGGACTTACTAAAAATCTGACACCTACTGCAGAGTCAGGAGTCTCTTGATGACACCACACTGTGTTTGCACTAAAATGACCACAGCTATGCAGGCTGCACAGATCGCTTTGTGAGACCCCAGCACAGAAGAGGCCTCAGAACATTTCTTGGAAGGAAAATTGATACTGAGAATTCTGTTCTCAACTATTTTCCCTGCGAGTGAGCCAGTATCATACTGAAGCAACAAAACTCTTGGCCACTGTCCAGGTTGCTTGTACTTTGCACCTGAAAAACCCCAGAGGACAAGATGGGAGGCACTGAGAAGTTAGATTAATGGCTCTGGCCATGGGCCTGGAAGGGAGGGCCACAGAAGCTTGTTCCAGAAGGGAAGCTGGGTGGCCTGGGGAAAGAGACTGGCAGGGATACCCTTGGAACAAGTACACAACCTTGCAAGCCTCAAGTGTCACTGTGGCAGGTGGATGAGCAGTGGAGAGTAATCTCACTTTGTCATTCATTTTAAAGACTAAAAAATTATTTGTGCATGTGCATCAGCGCTTATGGAGTCCAAAATAGGCTGTTGGATCCTCTGGGGCTGGATTCACAGGTGTGAGCTGCCTGGTTATGGTGCTGGGAGCAGTGCTCTGATCCTCTGCAATAGCAGCAAGGGCTCTGAGCCTTCTGTTCAGCCACCCTTCTTATTATTGTATATCAGTTTCTTAACATGAGAATCCCACCTCCATATGGAATGATGGAACTAAATGTTGCAGTTGCAAAATTTTGCCAAGAACAAATGATTTGTGCATATGCGATGGCCAAGATTAATTCAAATGTGGACTGATTCTGAGGTGTTTCTGCAGTGTGTACCATGTGACATCCTCACACCTGTGGTTCTGAGCACACAGCCTGAGTACTTTTGCACTGCAAGAGCCCAGTGATGCACCTGAAACACCTTGGCTCATAGTTGAGGCTATTGTTTGCTGTGATGACAACATTTTCCCTGTACATATGAGACCTTCTGCTCCTGTAGAAACAATGACAGCTTCACTATGGATTATAAAGATTTAAATATTTTCTCATTTTTGTTCTTCACCGTGTAAGAATCAAGTTAGCATGCATCTGCATTGTATTGTGGGAGAACATTTGGGTCTACAAGTGTGTGTTTTGAATTGCTGACTTGAGTTACATAAAGAGCTGATAAGTGAATTTTTTCTTGGGATTAGGACAGAATTTCCAACGTCTTCTGGAATGTGTGCTGCACATTTGTGTAAAGCATGAGAAATGCAAAATATCAATCAACTCTGAGAGACACTGGAGCTTCTCTATGTCAACAGCATCAAATATTCAACCAATATTTAATGCCTCATGCAAAAAATAAACAAATAATCCATCTCATCAGTTTTCAAATTTGCTGTCATCTTTAACAAATGCTAAATTATATTACAACAGTTGTTTTGATTTATATTCAGTAGAATTATTTGATTTATGTTCACATATATCTACATAACTAGATTTATGTAAAAATTATTTGGGAAAAGGAATTGAAGGTAGAAAAAGTTTGAGAAGCCCCTTTCCTTTCCTGTTCATAAGACATTTGCTTTCCAGGGAAAGTATCCTCCCATTGTCTCCATTCCCATGCTCCCCAGTCCTGCTTGTATCATCGAGGGTCAGGTGGGCTTGAGGTTGGCCACTCAGGCCATAAGAGCAGTTTGGACAAGGCCTGAATAGATTTGCTGCCTCCACCAAATGTTTCCTGAGATGCTCACCCCACATGAACATCTGGCTGGGGAAGGATAACAGGGAACATCTGGGTTCCCAAGTTGTCCTGGAAACTGCCATCATAAAGGCAATTCAGATGGCTACTGGCTTATAGATGGAGAAACTTAGAGCCAAGAGAAGCTCAAGCAGAGCCAGGACTCAAAGGAGAGTGCTCAGCCCTCAGATGTCAGGATCACACAGAGACCCTGTGCTACTTGTCAACGAGGTCCATGATCAGGTGAGGATGGGTCTCGTTCAGAGCTCGGTAGACTTGGTCTTTGCAGGCCCTGGTCCAGGACCGGCTGTGGCTCAAGAGCTTCCTCATCTTGTCTTGGGTGGTGGCTTCAGCCCGCACTGCCTCATACTCCTGTTCACTCAGCACCAGACTATGCAGCTTGTCCAAGAGAGGGTCCACAGATGTCACTCGAGTCACCAGCTGCTCCCGATACTGGTCCAGGAAGTGTAGTGAGGCAGGAGCATCTAGGGGTGAAGATGAGACTGACTCTCAGAATAGAAAGGCTTCTCCAGGTCTCCCACTGGCTGCCCACTTCTTGCTCTATTCATATACCTCATCTGTACTCCTGACTCTTTCCTTCATCTGGAAGGTCATTTGAAAAATATCTTTATCTTCTTGAAGCCAGTCACTAGTCTGACAACTAACCTGACTGGGGGTAGGGTTGTTCATCCTGGGGTGTTCAGGTTGGGAGTTGGTGGAGTTATTGTCAATATGGGAAACAGCCAGGGGACATGAGAGGAACCCTGCCCTGGCATGCACCTGTCCTGGTGAGGTTTGCAAAGTGAGGCTCCGTCCTTTCCCACTGCCCTTCTCTTGAGGGTTAGATGATCTACCAGCAGAATACGATTGGCTTCTCTGGCCTTTCATACCCATTACTGACCTTTCTGGGCTGCAGGGATCATGAGTGGTGCAGGTCTGAGGTCTCCTGGAAGAAAGGAGAGATGAGTATCTGTAATGATGCCTGTCACCAACACTCGGTGCTCTCTGTGAAACTCCTAACCATGCCTGACATTTGAGAATGATACAATATGAAAATCTGGTATAATCTGGAAGATGAACATTTCCTTACTAACATAGGGAACATTTCCTTACTAACTAGGCGCCAGGTATATCATCATAGAGAGAGAAGACATGTAAATGAGCAATAGGCATTTTCCACACATGATCACAGCCTCAATTTTATCCTAGACTGAATTCCCTTGGAGGACTAACCAAGTCCCTTGCTGGCTTAAATTATTTGATATTTGATTCTGAGTGGAAAACTACTTTCTTGTCCTTGTTTGACCTGTACACTTACATGCCACAAACATGTGTTCTTGATTTGATGGCAGAATCAAGATGAAGCAAGACTGAGATCATGGGAACAGTGATTTGATTTTAGTAACAAGGTTAATAAATTTCAGCTCATGAATAAGCCCCAAGGGTTTGAGAAGACTCTAAATTCATTGTGCTCTAACAATTTAGGGAAGTCATTCCAAGGACTCAGTTTGTAGTATTGGTAGCCCTGGTTCCATTTGTATGAAGGGAAGATGGCATTGCTTATACGCCATGCTAGCTGGACTATCATGGTGCATTCTGACTTGTAGATAAACTGAAGCATCTAATGAGAAAATGCCTGAGTGATCATGAATTTAAAAGCCAAGATGTAAGATTGTGGAACAAGAGGACCATGACTATAATCTTCTGGTTTCTGAATACTTTCCCACATGGAAGGGGAACAGATCTTAATGAGCCCCAAAGAACAGAATTAAGAAAAACACGTGGAAAGGTTGTCTTAACATAAAGAAAAATAGCAACATTGCTCTCATCAACTAAGGAGCACATTATGAGATGTATATGAACATCATTTAACTTTTTCAAATATCCTACAAGCTATTCATTCTGATCTTCAGTTTGCAGGTGAGGAAGGCCATACTCAGATCAGTTAAGTTACTTTCCAAGATTGCCTGAGGGCTGGAGTGAGATTCAAACCCTGGCTGGATGCTGGGGCAGGGCAAGTCACCCCCTGGCTGGATGCTGGGGCAGGTCAAGTCACCTGTGGCTCACTCAGGTCAAGGCTGAGCAAAGTCTGTTCTTGGACCACATGTGGAGCCTGTTTGTAGATGCTCAGGAGCAGGAACCACTGCTGTTTGAGAGCTGACAAGGGCTGGGAATCTCCAGAGGAACTGATTAGGGGAGCTTGGTTTTAGCCTTGTGTGTGCCGGACTAAGACTGTATTGTTGACTGAAATTATGAAATGTCACTATTTGTGTTTTCTTGTCCATGTCCATATGGATGACTTACAATAGCCAATAAATAGATAAAAAATAAACACAGATAAACAAATAAATAAAATAAATTCCGGACAGAAAACATAACCATGGAAACGAAAGAACTCTACGACAAAAACTTTAAGACATACAAAAACTTTAAATACATAGATGAAGGCCTTAAAGATGGAAACACACCCCTCCCTGCAATGCAATGTTGTGAAAATAGCCACCCTATTAAAAGCACTCTACAGATTCAGTGAAGTCCCTGTCATGATTCCAGAGACATTCTTTACAAAAAGCGGGGAAAAAGTCCTGAAACACATGTGGAACCACGAGAGACAATAGCCAAGGCAATTCTGAATAAAAACACTATTATGAGAAACATCAGCACATTTTATTTCAAATTAATGCTTCTGCATGGTAATTGTAACAGCATGGTGAGCACACAAAACCCCACGTCACTGGAATAGAATAGAGGACTTAGATAAAAGTCCTCACAACCACAGCTACCTGGCTTTTGACAAAGAAGCCAACAGTATACTCTGGAGAAAAGACAGCCTGTTCAACAAATGATACTGGAAGACCTACATAGCAAAACTTTAAAAGATAGACTGGTTGCCTATACCTCTCCTTTAAAAAGCCAAATCCAAATGACCAAAACCTCAATGTGAGACCCAGTACCCTGAACCAGGTAGAGGAAAAAGTATGGAGAATATGTCAATACAGCAGCACAAGTCAGGGTTGTGTGAATTCCTGATAGCACAGGAAGTAAATACAAGAGTTGATAAATCAGATCTCAGGACACTAAAATGTTCTGCAGAGCAAAGGAAACGTAATAGAGTGAAGATGCAGCCAAGAATGAGAGAAAACTATTTTCCAGCTAACATCTGACAGAAGATTAGGAACTAGCATATACACAGAACTCAAAAACTTAAATTCCAAGGAGATAACTCAACAACATGGTGAGCCATATGTAGGCGGAACCAGAGAATTCTTAAAGGAAAAAAAGGTTAGGAAACACTTAGTTTTCTAGTGCCAGTTAAATTTCTCACGATTCCATCTCATCCCTTGAGAATATCTAATATCTAGTACACAAAGCTGGAGTGGATGTAGGGAAAGTGGAACACGTACACACTTCCTGTGGGAGTACAAACTAGTGAAGTCACTGTGGAAATCAATCTGCAGGCTTCTTGAGAACTAGAACTAGAACTTCTATATAACCCAGCCTTACCATTCCCAGGAATATATCTAAGGGAATTTATATCCAACTATGCACAGCATGCTCTTTCAATCATGTACTGCTCACAGTAGCTAGGAAATACAATCAGCCTAGACATCCATCAACCAATGATTATATAATGAATGTGTGGCACACCTACACCATGGGGTTTTATTCAGGTGTGAAGAAAATGACATTCTGAAATGTAAGTATACAAATTAGAAAAAAATATTGAGCAAGATAACCAGGGCCCAGAAAGAAAACACTGTGTCTATCACATCAGTTTCTGTCCTGGAGTCTTTAGTTTTGTGGTGTTAACATGGTGTGCCCCTACCAGAACACTAGAAATGGGGCCTTAGGGATAAAAGGAGGACAGAAGTGTCATGATAAAATGAGGGTAGAGAGGCAATATTGGAGGCAGAATTGTTCAAACAGGAAGTGGGGGGGGGGATGGAGGAGACGAGGGAGTGGGTGGGATGTTGTATCAAAAATGAAGACAGTATTTAAAAGTCACAAGGAAAACTATATTTGGTAGTCCAATATTAAAAAACACAAAAGACTTTGAATCCAAGACACCCCATGATGCTTGAAACGGGAGGTCTTAGCAGTAGTGAGTTTCAAAACAAAGACCCAGTTTCCAGGTGTGGGATATCTCCATAGGAGCTGTTGGGCAGGGAGGCCCTGGAGCTTCCCAAGACAACACGAAAGCATTTCATCCTTCTTCATTCCTCATCAGAACTAGTGGATTAGACATTATGGTTGAAGACCCCCAGACATCATGGATGCGTGGTATAGATAACTCAAGCTGGAACTGAGTTGGAAGCTTCCTTCCTGTTGTTAAAGTTTCATACCATTATGTAGGCTGCAGAGGAAGAAAGGCATCAACAATAGTCTAACCCAGCTCTGTACTCTATATTCTTCAAACCAACTTGTCAGCAAGATGGTCCCATTGCTGCAATAGTGGTACAGCTGTGGTGGGAGCAACCTGTAGTTCTAATTAAATTTCAGTCCCATGTCTCAAGATAGACTCCATCACTAGCACTGTAAAGTTAGTAAAGCAAGCAAACCCATATCTGTGGAGGTCTTAGTCCCTTGAGAGAAGCTATTGCTGCTTAGCTAAATGGACATAGTATCAATGCCCTTCTAATAACCAATGTTTATCCTGCAGACAAAGACTGCTTTCAGCCTTCTCCAGAAAAGCCTCTCTGCTGTGAACGGAGGTGAATGCAGATATCTATAGGTGTTCAGGATAGTGAGAATAAGGGATGGTTGAGTACTCATCCTTATGAGTAGATATTTATACCACACCCTTGAGGCTGTAGGAACATTGTGGAAGAGGAAGTGGAAAGCATGTAGCAACAGAAGATATGGAGAAGGGTTGTGAAATGTTGTCTTCTAAGCATGACATGACCATAGCCATCATGAACTCATAGCACTTGCACCTACCGTCTCTGGACCTACACAAGCAGAGCCTGTCAATCACTCAACTAGACATGGGGAAGCAGCTCACATGGACAGTGACACTTACTGCTAAAACACTGGCAAATTTTATAGGGACAAGGGAGGTATACATTCCATCTGTATGCGTCTTGGTTTTACTAGATAGTGCTAGATTTTACTGGATAGTGTAAAGCCCTTGGGCACACAGATGTTCCCAGGTAAACTCTGTGGGACACAAAGCAAAACTTCATGAATGTGGGAAAGAGATTTGTATTAAAGAAGAGGGGCTGGCAGGAGTAGGAGGGAGCTAAGAAGGCGTGTTTAAGGTGGAGTTACTACAATGCATTGCAGTGTGCATAAAATTGTCAAAACACAAAATTTACTACTAAAAATTATGCATGGATTCCAGATTGAGTATCTCATGTTGGCAAAATCCTTTCATTTTAGACCTGAGATAATATGTGAACTGGAGCCAGATGCTTTTGTGCTTCTCAAAATCTGTCACTTCAAGGGTAGTGGGGGGTAGAAATCAGGATTCAGGACTGAGAAAATGGCTCTTATAGTATGTGGTGATTTGGATATGATGTATTCTCTGATAATGATCATGTGTTGAAAGATGAGTACTGCAGCTGTAATCAGTCCCGGGGACTATGATTTTATGAATGGATCTATACACTAATGAAATCATAATTGTGAGTAGTGAGAATGATAGTGAAAAAACCATTGAAGATTGTTCAGCTGGAGGAAGCAGGTCACCAGGGGCATTTTCTGGAATAGAATATCTTGCAAGAATTTGTTCCTTCTTCCTCTTTTTCCTCTTCTTTTTCTCCCACTGCCCTTTTCTCCCTCTCACTTCCTCCCTCTCCTTTCTCTGATTTGGAGCTGCCAGGTGAACAGCCTCCTCTCTCACAAGCTCCCCTTCCATGATACTCTGTTTTGCCTCTGGCTCAAAGAGATGGAGGCAGCTGACCATGGTCTGAAACTTGGTTCTAAGTTCATGAATCAAAACAAAACTTTCTCCCTTTAAAGTTGTTTTTCTCATGTATTTTGTCACTATATTGGGAAAAGCTTACTAACACAGCATCAGATTTTAAACTGTGGTCAGACCACTTGTTATGGTGGATCCAGCAAAATCCACGTAACTAATCTATTTCGTGACACCAGGAATTAATGACAATACACCTTTCCCCACTCATTGCCTTTCTTCTGCCTTTTGGGTATCTGGACCTGCAGTAATTTTACCTGGTTTCAGCAAGGCTTCCCATATGAGATTCTTATGCTTCTTGTCTAAGATTTGCAGCTTAATCCTTGAATCCATATGGCCAACGTAGATTTCAGAGAAGAGCTGGGATTCCCTGGGGCTCCTGTAGCATAATACCAGTTCCTGAAAAGAGAGAGAGAGAGAGAAAGAGAGAGAGAGAGAGAGAGAGAGAGATCCTAAAAGAATCCGCTACTCATCCTGGGAAGGAGAGCTGTCCCCAACCCCATATTTTCTTGATCTTGCTCATCACATTAGACTTTGTCTATCTTGTGCTCCAAGGTAACCCACTGCTTTGAACACATCTTTATTCTGAAGATTGGGGACCTAGCTAGAACCCCCATCATGCTGGTTTTTTTTCTCATCACTTTGACAAAAACCTGACAGGAAGCAAGTCAAGGAAGGGTTTGTGTTGTTGCTTAGTTTTATGGTGTGGAATTCATGTAATCTGGAGCTCCAGTCTTGGTGGCTGGAGCTTGTGGCATGGCTCTTCCTCTCTTAGAGGATCAAGAATTAGCAAGTCTGATATGGGGAGCAGGGCAGCAGGGAGTGACTAGAAGCCTCAAAACCTGTCATTCATGACTTGCTTCTGATAGCCAGGCCTCATGTCTTTTGTTTCCACAAACTTCCAAAGTATTACCACTATCTGGGGACCAAGTGTTTACATATTTATACCCACAGAAGACATTTCAGATTCAAACCTTAACACCCATGGATAGTGAGAGAGCTCAGCCTGAAAGTCCTGCTCACACAGCCTAAGTCAGGCCTTGCTCTCTAAACCATGTTGTTCTGGACCCTTCTCTGTGCTGCACTGAATCAAACTCCTCATTTCTACAAGCCTTCTATATTCATGTGTAGTCGTTTAATTTGCTATCTACTGAACTTTGATGTATTTGTGTTCATCCTAGTCCCAATTTCTTTCTATCCAGTTTCAGCTTGCTACAAAGCCTTGTTACCTACCCCATAGGTTTCCCCAAGCCTGTCATATGACCTTGAAGGGTAGCGAACACCTGGATGCTTACCGTTGGCATGATTTCCAGTTTCTCAGAACCAGAAATGATGTAGCGTGAGCCAATGTAAAATGAGTCTTGTGGGGGTGGCTTATTTATTCGCATGAATTGGAACTTCATTTCTTCATCATCAATGGCCTAGGGAACATTACAGAATTATTATCTAGACTTCTGGGCTATAACATCTGGTCTGAATAAGGTGATATGGTCGTTTGGTACATTTGTCTGGGATGGGATGGTGACTCCTCCTGGGAACCCTTCTGCCTTGTGTTCTGCCATATAGACTGTTGAATTTTTGGCTTCAGTCATGTTCACTGTGGAAACAGGATCTCTGCCAGAGAAGAAGAGAGTTGTCCTTCTGATGGGTGGAAAGAGGCTATAGGAGGCTGTGCAGAGGTTTGCAAAAAGTGCAATAAAGGCAGTTGTAGGAGACTCTGGTATGGGGGGCAGAGAGAATGCACAATCATAAACATCATGGTTCCCCTTATTGAACTGTATCCCCACTACCAGTCAAGAAGCTCTCCAAGGGGCTCACTAGCTGCATCTCAGGTTTTCTGTCTGCCCACCCTGGCCCCACTTTTGTGGTCCTCAGTGTCACCTTCCGAATGGTGCAGTCATTGGGGATCAGGTAGAGATGAAGGGTGACGTCCTTGAGATTGAGGTGATAGTAGATCAGTGTGATGGAAGTGATGGGAACAAAGTGTCGGATAGCAGGGATCATTCTCACTAGAACTCCCATTGGGGAGAAGCTTGGGTTTTTCAGTACTGCGAAATGCTGCTCCACCCTGGCTGGAGTTTCTAGGACCATACCATGTTCTTGAAAGTGAGCCACACAGAACAAAGAGATGTCCACTTGTCCCTCTGTGAAAGAACAGATTCAAAGATGTAGATTTAGTGTTTCCATTGAGCCACATTTGTCTAGGAAATAGTACTCCACAATTTAGGATGATTGTGGTGGTTTGAGTGAGAATGGCCTCCATGGTAGCACTAACTCTAATTGGTCTTAGTAATAAAAACCCAGAGTCAGATATAGGGGTTAATGCTGAAAGATCAGAGAAGCAGAGAAGCCAGCCACTTTTTTTTTTTTTTTGGTTTTTCGAGACAGGGTTTCTCTGTGTAGCTTTGGAGTCTATCCTGGCACTCGTTCTGGAGACCAGGCTGGCCTCGAACTCACAGAGATCCATCTACCTCTGCCTCCTGAGTGCTGGGATTAAAGGCGTGTGCCACCAATGCCCAGCTCAGCCACTAGTTCTGAGGATCTGTCTACCAAATCCTCAGACCGAAAGGGTGATCCTGTCTCTATGAATCTTTAGACTGAATGCTGTCTCTATGAAACCAGACTGAATTCTCTGAGCTCCTGTCTCCTCCTGCTTTATATTCCTCTCTCTGCCCAGCCATATTACTTCCTGTCTCCATGTCCCTAGTGCTGGGATTGAAGGGGTGAGCCATCACCACTTGGTTCTGTTTCTCTTTTAGACTGATTCAATCTTGAATAGCCCAGGGTGGCCTTGAACTCACAAATATCCATCTGCCTCTGCCTCCCAAATGCTGGGATTAAAGGTGTTTACCACCACTGCCTGGCCTCTATGGCTAACTAGTGTGGTTATCTCTGCACTATGATCTTCAGGCAAGCTTTATTTGTTAGATCACAAACAAAATATCACCACACTCCATAATTAGTGGAATTGTTTGGGAAGGAGTAGGAGGTATGCCCTTATTGGAGTAGGTGTGTCACTGGGGTGGGCTTGGAAGTTTTAAAGTTTGTCCTGTTTCCAGTTTCCTTTCTCTCCCTCCTCCTTGCAGATAAGGATGAGAGCTCTCAGCTATTGCTCCAGTGCCGTGCCTGCTTGCCTGCTTTCTTCCATGCTCCCTGCCATGATGGTCATGGACTCTAACTCCCTAACTGTAATCATCCCCAAATCTTTCTCCTATAAGTTGTCTTTGTCATGATGCCTTTTTAGATTTATTTATCTTTTGATGTTTATGAGAAAAAAATGAGCAAAAACACATGAGTTTTATTAATTAATCCCCACTGAGAACACAGCAGAACAGCTGACCATTTCCTTACCATCAATTCACAGGGGAGGTGAATGTGACCTGTTGTCAGTGGTGACTCATGCCAACTTCCCCTCATTGGAGCAGCCTTGTCTTTGTCCCTGGCTAGCTACTGGGAGAACATTCGCGGAGGAGTGGAGGGCCTTGTTGGTCTCATCCATAGATGCTATAAAGAACACAGCCTCAAGGCCAGAAATTGGACAACCAGTAGGTTCTCTGAGGTGCTGCCATCACCAGCTTCAGTGTCTTGGGGTTGGCAGTGTCCACAAATGTGCTTGTTGCAGGATGGAGTTTGCTGTTTTGAAAGAGACCGGAGAGTACCCACCTTTGTTCACTGAAGACAAACTGGATGCATCAATGGAATTGCCAATGTCAAATGGGAGCTTGATGAAATCTAAAATCACCTGGATACAGGCCTCAGGGCACGATAGAAGGAGATTATCTTGATTGGGTCAATGACTTGGAGGACCTGCTCTCTGTGGGATCCATGCACTAGGATCCAGGCTGTCTAATGTGGAGAAGGTCACATGGGCACATCATTTAGTGGTTTAGCTCCCTCTGTTGACACAAGTTTACCAGGCACCACTAGCTCTATGTCCTCAGACTTCCATGTCATGATAAAAAATATATATATATTTTAACTGTGAGGCAGAGTCAATCTTTCCTCTAAGTTTCTTTGGTCAGGTATTTTGCTTGAGATACAAGGAAATGAACGTGCACAGAAAATTGATAGTAGTTGAGTAGCTGCTGTAAAAAAAAAAAACCTGATCATGTGGTTCTTAGGCCTTTGGAACTGTTTTGTGGCTGGGATGTAGAAGAGTTTTGTACTTAGGACTAAGAAAGCGCTTCCATGTTGAGAGTAGAGATTATGGGGACATTCCGGTGGAAGCAGGAAGACAAGAATGCTGAGAGTGACAGCAGAGGCAGTTCATGACACCCCCATAGAGTACACCAGGTTTCTATTGGGAACCTAAAAGGATCCACTCATGCGATGGTTTGGCTAAGAATCTACTTTCATTGTGTGAATTCCCTGAATGTGAATGAAGATGAATTTAAAGATAAAGGACTAATTAGGCAGGAGAAATTTCAAAACAGGAAATAGTCTGATTAAAAAAAAAATCAGCTGTAATTAATTGTTAAAGAGCTCGGCATCACTAGAGGGAAAGCTGCACTGCACTGTGGCAATAGGAAAGGTGTCCCAAGAGCAAAATAATCACTCTTCATAGCCTTCATTTTGTGAAGACCCAAACTGAGTTAAAGGCAGAAAGCCTTAAGTGATGGTGTTCCCTGTTCCACAGATATGAACACCCAAGGAAGTGTTTCTCCACGGTCAGCACATCTTACAGCGGCTGTCCAGGGCAGAAGGGCCAGGCCACATCTCAAGCTGTCAACAGAACTTGGCAGTGCCATCCCTATAGTTTTTCAGGCATGACAGATGCTAGATTGATGGGTCACTGAGTTATGCTGCACAGTTGCAGGTAGCAGCTGAGGTCAGGCAATGTGCCTGAGTCAAAGATCCTGCAAGGACGTCCTGAGAGGTCATCTGTGAACCTTTGAAAGTATAGCCTAAGTTGGAATGGACATTCTAGGATATTGGAGAAGACAGACCCCCTTTCTTTTTCTGCTGAAGAAGGTTTTAGGCAAGGAGTGGGAAGGTAGCCTAAATAGAGGTAATGTGAGCTTCATGTGGTAGAACTGGAGGGGCGGAGCTACCTTTGGAGTCGAGTGAATGACATAATGAACTTCATAGCTGGGCCTGAAGCTGCAGGAGTTGGTATTTATGCTGATGGATTTTTGTCTTGCTGTGGTCTGATTATTCCTTAGAACATCCTGGTTCTTCCATCTTGCCATGGCAATGTCTATTCTGTATCATTGTATGTTGAAAGCAAGTAATTTTTAAGAGCTCACAGTTAAGTCTCTGTTGTGAAGTGGACTTTTAATCTGTTGGAATTATTAAGGACTTTGGGGATCTTTGAAATTGGAGTGTACTCTGCATTATGAGACAAAACTGAAATTTTGGAGATACGAGGAGGAATGTTAAGATTTAAAGTGACGTGCTTGGGTGTCAAGTTGACAATGGGTAGAATGGTGATGTTGAATGTCACTTGTCAGCTTGATGTGATCCCTGCTAACGGAGGCACCACTCTGCCACACACCACTTGCCTGTCCTTTCAGGTCTGAGTTTGCTTCCAACTTGCAACATGACAGACAGTTGCAATGTATCTTGTTCAGCAGAGAGCATTTCTGTTTCTCTTGGGTGATTGCTTTGGAATCAATAATCACCAGGAAACGAGACAGTGAAATTGTTCCTGCACAAAGTGATACAGCTTAGGATTTCCATCAATGGCATGGCAGCTAATAGTTTCACAGAAACCACACAACACTGAAATGTCCTCTTTGTGACAGTTCTGGGCCTTGAAACCCCGGCTTTCCCTGAGTAATCTTCAGCCCCAGCACCAGATCCTGGCACTTACCCATGCTTTGTGCTGTGCCAATTTTCACAGAATCCTTGAAGATGCTGTCCCTCTCCAATGTCCTTCTTGCCTTCTTGCTAGGGTAAGTTTATGATGGGCAGGACCTTCCCAGGACTTGGGAATGTGTTTGTTTGTGTGTGTGTGTGTGTGTGTGTGTGTGTGTGTGTGTGTGTGTGTGTGTGGGGTTGGTTCTTTCATTGCTGCAATCAGAAATTTTCTGAGGCATCTAAGATGACTTGGTAAATTTATGCATTTCTTTGCTCCTTTTACTTTTTTTTGGATACAAGGATTCACTATATATCCTTGCTAGAATTCATAATCCTCCTTCCTCAGCCTCCAGAACTTTGAGTTCACAGGTATATGACACCACCTGGCCCTGTGACTGTCCTTTCTATATATGCTGTTCCTTCTGTAAACTGTAAAAGAATCACATACTTTCCATTTTCCATGTTGTAATTTTCTGAATGGAGAGTGGGAGTTAGAAAGAGGAAAGGTGGTGGCCTGCAAGAAAAAGCTTGAGTGGGACAAGTTGTTGGGCAGACCAGGAGCTCTGTGTAGAGCTGTTTGACTGACTTCATTGTACACTATTGGAAGTCACCATTGGGGAGGCAGTGCCTTGAGCTACAGACCCTGACAGAGTTCTTTTCTACTGAGTCCGGCTTCTTTTTTCATCTTCATTTTTTTCCCCTTTGGGCTTGCTATTATACATGGATATTTTTAATCTAAGAGATTCTTAGCTTTTTTTCTTTTCATGGTTCTCCTATCAGCTGGAGAATCCTCTATTCCTGCTTTAGTTTTCTTGACTTCTTCATCTGTCAGATGTGCCCAGTTAAGACCCTTCTTGGACCTACTCCTTATCTTCATCACCATGTACAAACTCCATCTTTTTCTGTGGTGAGCTGGATTATCCTGGTCTCTATGGTGGCCCTATTGTTGTGCTTCTTGGAGCAGGAGAGGAAGTCGGTGTCACTAGTCACTTGTTCAGCCCTTGGTTCCCTTTTTCTTCTTGCTGCCTTTTCCTTTTTAAGGCAGACTCTGGCTGTGGGTAGTCTAGGCTGCTCTTGAATTCTAAATTCTCCCCCCTAAAGCCTCCAGAGAGCTGGGATCACAGGCTGTAGTAATGGCTTTCTTTATGAGATGGCTCACTGGAAACCTTGTACTTACTAAAGTATCTTCGGAAGGAATCTTTGGCGATGACTGAGGATGGGACACTTTATGAGCCCCCCTTTCTTAGGAAGACTCCCTTCTGTGGCTCCAGTTCCTAAATGGAATCTGGTGACATAATTTTCTCCCTGTGCATAGGAGTGTAATGGCTCACAGTGTTGGTAGACCCTCGGAACTAAATGTTTCTTGTTAACTTTATTATTGTCACTTTGCGGCAATCTCTTCAAATTGCTCAATTTATTCTCAGTTCCCTGCTGGGACCCTGAAGGACATGGTGTGTAAAGAGCACTTAATAACCACTAGTTAATATTGCTACTGAGGACATCACTTTCCACTTAGGGACTCCTTTAGGTAAAACAGAAATAAAGTCATAAGGCTGGGAGACACGTGCTTCAAAGAAGACACATTAGAGAAGAAGAGATGACAAACCTTTCAGTGTTCATCTTCATAATCTGCTTTGCCTCAGGGAGGAAGCCATGAGACCTTTCTTCATCACCATCATCCTACAGTCTGCTATGTGACCTATCAAGTCCTCCCATAAGCACCACCCTGCTCCTTATGCTTCCCTTGGTTACCTTGGAGAGCCACAAAATGAGGAAGGTACACAGCAGCCACAGCTCCCTGCTCAGCCTTGATGTCAAACAGAGGCCCAGCCACCATGTGCCTGTGTCGAAAGTGAGTCTGGTCCAGGTATTGGGTCCAGGCACAGAATTCAATCTCGATTGTCACTGCCCTTGTCACCACAAAGCAGAGTCCTATGCTGGGACAGTGGTAGGAACCAGGCACTGGGAATTGAACTCTAGAAGAGGAAGAGGCAGACACCAGTGAACACCAGCTCTGCTCATCTGCTGGGTGCAGACCCAGTGCAGGGCTGGGGACACCATAGACTTCAGCCAGATGACTTTGAGTTCTGGTTCCTCTGCTGTCTGTAGGTAGATCACTAAGTAAGTGATTTAACTCCCAGATCTGTTTCCCCATCTGTACATGGGGTAGCAAGAACGCCATCTCATAGACCTGTGAGTACTGAGTGATCTAGAGCAAACCTACAGGTGACACACACCTGGAGCAGTTAGCTATTCCTGAGATGATGATAAGGGTGATGAAATAGGTGTGTGTGTGTGTGTGTGTGTGTGTGTGTGTGTGTGTGTGTGTGTGTGTGTTGACAGAAAGGTGGACAATTATCAGTTTCTGTTGGAGGAAGTTAAAGTGACAGTTTTCCAGCTGATAGAGTGACTGTGACAGTGTTGGAGGAGGATAGCAGGTTATGAAAGACACCATAATTGTGTATATAATCACTCATTATTCTTGAGACTATAATTCTTAGAGGCCAGAGCTGCTGTATGCATCCTCATGTTCTCAGCTCCTATTGTGTTCTTGGTACACAGTGGCAGTTAGTGAAGCAGGAGTGCAGAGACCATAGGGATTTAAGGGAAACCCAAGAGACAGGAGAAACCAAATATAATGAGTGAGCAGATGCTGTTTACATCATGAATAAAAAGTCCACATTTCAGATAATGAGCAAGGTTGAGCATAGACTGGTTACATGGAATGAAGGACTCATGTCAGCTCTGTTGATGGGGTAATGGTGAGCTGGTCATGGAAGACCAGGTTCTGTCTTAACTACAGGGGTGCATAGTGAAATGTTTGTGGGTGAAGTCACCTGATGTCCTGAACTCACAATACTGTGACAGTGATGACAAGGGAGGAATGTGAGTAATTGAAACAGACTTGGAAGAAATGGTGCTGGAGCTGAGTCATTATTCAGGGAAGTTCTTGTGCTTTCCAGTTTTGTGAATGTTTGAAAATTTTTATGAAAAAACATTTACTATTATAATACTCTAAGCTTCTTTGCCTTAGTTTG